TTTTTACTGACCATAAGTCATCATCAACTTGCGTTGCCAGAATTCTATTCGTAATACTGATGCCTTCTAGGTTTAGAACTACGAATTTACTATTGTTTAGTTTTCAGCTCTGTTCATTAATATCTTAAAGCAACACATCGTCTCCCAATGCTCTGCAGAATCCCTTGAGAGCTGTTGCATTCCTTCTGTTGGAAATATGTAGTTTAACAACAGAATATCCGTTATAGTGTATGTCGTAGCTGATTTTTGTTCATTTAAGACCTGAAACGGCGACGTGGTGAAGGATTTTTAAGGATGGGGCCTTGCAGATCGCTTGAAGTAATGATTGTTGAGAGAAATTCATAGATCAGTAACGAAAAGATGTGGTGGAGTCTGTGGTTGTGGAGCAGTGACTGTGGTTCTTTAGGAGGCTGTATTCACAATGCGGCGTCACTTAGTATAAAAATAGCTGTACTTGCTAGCGTACCTCCAATATTTTTGTAGTAACTGGCAAGCCGTTCAAATTCTAGTGGAAACTGGTTTCATGTAAAGCTTTTGCTTGAAGTGTAATTTGGAAAAACTGTCAAAAAGAAATAGTACTTGTTACGATGTTCAGTTTGGACAAAATCCACGTAGTGTTTTTGTTTAGTTTTCTTTAATCTTGCTCAACAAGAAGAATGTTTTGATGCGAACAAAAAATTGAAGAAAAAATCATAGGAATATTATCGTATTTTAAATTATTCAGTTTTGGATTACGTACAGGCAAAGATAACGTTTATTTAACAACTGCATTTTTGTTTATTCAGTGAAACTTCTAAGCATTTAAAAAGCAATGGATGTAACAATTTTATGTTTTTGCAACAGCGATAAGCGAAAATAGCACGGTGCTGTAGAAAACTAACGCTAAAATGATGAAATGATGACCGGTACTCACCTTCAATTTTAAAAACTTCTGCTTCTTTGGAAAACGACAATAAATTTGTGCAGTTGACTGAATCTCTAAAAAAATCAACCTGCAGATTTACAATTAATTTTGCTACATGTTTTCCTCAAAAAAACGTTGTTTGCCGGTAAAAAAATTTTGATAAAAGATTTGAAATCTTAAGTACACTTAATTTCTTATTTGTCCCGAAACTGATGCGGATAAAAGTTGATTACGATAATGGTAATGTTTACTTTTTGGGCTAATTTCCTGTTGCAAATCTCATATCAATGTTGGAATTCATACTTCTTTTAACTTTCATTAACTTTTTTCTTCATTCTGTTGCTATTGGGTCTTAACAGACGAAGGTTCTTACTTCTCACTGTGTCTTATATTATAAGGAAGATGACCTCGCAAACGACAAAGAATTGGTTTGAATTTTAAATCATTTTTGGAGATTGCATGATTTTAACGATAAACTATCCCACGCGACTCATAATA